TGATAAATATGGTAGATCGGTTAAATATGATCAATTGGTCATATTTGTCAACTAAGTCAAATAATAATTTGTAGATCCATTTTGATAATTTTTAATAATGTTAATTTTGCAGCTAACATCACCACGAAAAATCTGAATATTGGGTAACACTAGTGCAACACAGGATTTATACACAATGTAATATTAAACTGCGATATAATTATACAATAAATTTTTTAAACTATCGTTTTTCAAATATTTGTCTAAAGAGATATGAGGCTTGATCTTTACCAAATGGTTTTTCTTTTATTTCATGAAGTATATTTTTTGAATTGCATCTTTGAGAGCGTATCTTTTCCAATCCATCTTGCAAACTCTCCTTATCAATTTGTAAAGAAGTTAATCGAAGTTTTGATTCTTTAAGATCCATTTTCATGTTTGGATGTGTCTTCAGATCCAATTTATTAAATAATCCTTCTATTTTTTGTTGATGAATAACTAAACAATAAATTCACGTTTTAACAAATTCATATATATATGGATACAAATGTAATTGTGGACTTGTTAATACACAAAATTCATCAAATTCTTGTTTAAAGTTGGCATTCTGTGTTAACAAATTGGATAATCCAAAGTCATTAAAATTAGAATTATTAAAATCATCTTGTAATTCTTCTGTATATTTAATTTCTACTTCAGTTGGATTGCTCATTCAAGGCAATCCTAAAGCAACATGATGAAAACTTCGAGTAAAACTTTGACTTAAATTTCCTCCAAGACAACAAATTGAAAGAGGTAGATGACACCAAGAAATCATCTACTTGGTAAAATATTCAGTTGCCTTTTGAATTCCTCTTTCTAAATTATCAAAAATATCCCCAAATTCTTGAGTATCTAAAGAATTAAGAGCTTCTAAAAGTTCATCCATAAAAAAAATGTCAAAACTATCCATTAGCTCATTTAAATATTTAATCTATCCTGTAACTTTATCTGATATTTCATGTGCACAATGACCTGATGGTAGTTTTTTATAGTGAAATTCATGGTAAATTCGTGCAATTGGATCTTATTCTGCAATAAACTGCATCAAAGGTTCATAGAAATATTTTCTAAATTGTATCAAACATTTAACTTGAATTGTAAGTTTTCGATTTTGTAACCACTCTAAAAAAAGTCTCCATTTATTAATATATGTTTTAGAGGATTTATGAAGAGTTTCAAGAGCTTAAATAAACCAATTTCCAAATTCTAAATGATAATCATAACGCTCTAAATATTGTTGTGCTAAAATTATTCATACCCCCAACGTTCTCGAATATATCTTTGATATTGATTAAAAGAAAATACAAAATATTCTTTATAAAGATCATGAATTTTTTATCTTGTTATATTATGAGGCATGTCTTTATCACTTGAGTCACATCCGTAATGCAATTTCCATGCTAGATAGCATATATTACATGGTGTGCAACCTGCGTAAAACCAATAGCGGATGATAATTTTCCAAAAGTAGCTTTTTCAAAGTTGTTATAAACAATATGCATTATGTATAAGCCACATCCAATCCGTATAATATCAGAATTTGTTTTTTTGTTAAAAAGTGCAATTGCTCCATTTTGATTACCTGACATATAAGCCGTATTATCTGTTAACCATACTAAACATTTCTTAATATCAATATGAGCATTCTCAATTGTTTTTTGTACAGTTTGTGATACTGATTTACCATCGCATCTATCAATATCTTTAAGATGAGTCATTATTGCAAGTGGTTTATTTTGAATCGTACTCCAGAATATAAAACAAATTAAAAAATTTTTGATTCCATTACATTTTGATTCATCCACCATTATGCCATAATTGTTTGCATTCTTGATTTCTAAAAAATGTGAATCCATTTGTAAAGTTGAAATATCTTTATGCTATGTAGCTAATGTGCTATGTGAAAACCAAGTTTTAGGTGGTTTTTCAGTTAAAACCTCATACACTAACTTCATACACTCTATTGTTGATCCTTGTTAGCTTCAACGGTTCGTCGTTAAGTTAACTAAGATTATTTGCTAACAGGGAGTTTAAGTTCGTCTAAACTATGAAAGAAATAAA